TGGCCGCCACCATCGCTGGCACAGGACGCAGAGGGTGGCGCACGGTGAACTCCGCGCCCAGGCACCGCACGGGGCTGCCTCTGGCTCTGCGGCTCTGCCCCAGCCCAGAAAACCGGCGCCTTCCAGGCCCTTCGAAAGATGGATTCTGTTGACGTATCTGGCGGCCCTGGCGAGCCGGGTGGAAAGTTGGGTTTTGCCAGATCGCGTCGGGCTCGCCTTTGTGACGCTTGGCCAGCCCCGCATCCTCCCGGAGCCGGGTGAGTGTGCATAGGCGCCCGGGAGCCCGCTTGTCCCCCCAGTGCTCAGATTCGGGGTGGCCCACACTGGCTCGGGCTTTCTGCCATGTTAAGCATTGGGCAGCGTTCACGCTGCATTTTTTTGCGTGCGTTTCCGTGGTGCCCTTTGCTGCGGAGGGAGTTGTTGCTTCTTGCCGCGTTGGCTTTTTCAGGGTCAGGTTTGTGCGCTGTGTTTGCTTGTTTGCTGTTTAAAGCCCGACTATTGTTCCGGATAAGCTCCGCCTGGGTGGGGAAATGGCATCCCACCACGGTTGCCGGCGAGGGGTAGAAATGTTGCCAAACAGCTGCTGCTTTGTGTTTCACTATCGGAAGTCCCTGGAGTAGGTTTGGGGCACGACGGATGGATGGAGAGAGGGATGGGGCGTGGAGAAAGAAGGTGGCTTTGGAGGAGCGAATTGTCACCCACCCGGTGGCATGAAGTCAGCCTCCTTTTCTGCCTGCCAAACTTTTATGAATATTCCTTTTGTGGCACGGGGAAGCTTAATGAATTCAGCCCAGTTTTCCAGGGAAAAGCAACCGGGCTTTAACAATGGTTTGAGAACTTAATCAATGAGAAAGGCAGGGGGAGGTGGGGGTGGCGCTGACACCATATCAGGGATGTGGCTGCTTCTTGCAGAGTCAGGTGGGAGAGAGGTAGGCAGGGCAGGGCGCAGCGCCGGGTGGCCGAGTTCTGGGAACTGTCCATCGCTCCTACCTGTGCCCACAGGAGCCACCCTCCTTCGTGCCCCCACCCCACCATTTGCCCAGAACTCAGCGACTGGGCGTGAGCTGCGGCTTGCTGTGGTGCGCAGGCCGGCCCCCCTCATCTGGCGTTTTTAAGGATGTGTAAATATTTTGCTGAGGATAAGTGACATCAACAGAATGATATTCCGCAGAGCCCGGGTGTGCAGCGATGATAAATAGATACGGCCAAAGTTTTGATAACCGCGGATTTTCATGGCTCGCTCTGTTTCATTAGGGTCTTTGTTTTTGTTGGTTTAGCATTCTCTCTCATCCTCTGGTGTGATCCCTTTATTTAGCTGATTCTTGGAAGCTTCTCTTTAGAACAGAGGGAAAAGCAGCCAGCAGGAAGAAAACAATTCTTCCTTGCATGCACTGGGCAAGGTTTGCTGTGCCTTTTCCCAGAGAATATTTCTCACCGCTTTCTGGATGCCTCTCTTCCCCCTTTTGAGTCATCAGAATCGTTTGTTGATTGACCAAGAGACTTCTGATAACTTTGAAAATGTGTAGTGATGTGTCTTTGTTGCAGTGGAGGGTTGGCAGTGTTGGAGGAAGACAGTCGGGAGGCTAGTGGGTGGGAGCCACTCATTAGAGCAGCATTATGCCCCCACCCAGTTTTGTCCTTAGCATTTCTTCTCAAAGGGAAAAATGGGGAGGGGGAGCTGTGCCACCTTCAGAAGCTGGGGGTGGGCTGGAAGGCACAGATTCATAAGCCTCATGGCATCCCAATTCCTCTGCTCCTTAGAAGCCCAAAGAGGCCACCTACCCACCAGCAGACCCCCCACCTCGCACACACACGCACACACACACAATATACTCTGAATGGGCACGTGTGTCTCATCCTGACAGGTGCCCACTAGAGGCAACCACAAGGTGCCAGGCACTATGAGCCAATTCAGACTGGAATTTAGGATACAGGCTGCTTTGGTACCAGCACCAATCAGCTATCCAGGGCGGGAGTCCTTTATAATGCAAAGAAACCCCAGACTTCCAGCATTGAGGCTCAGCCCAGGAAAACCTGCCCATCTCAGGATTAAAAGAAAGAACAGCTTTCCAGGTGATGCCAGTTGCCAATGTGAAAACTTGATTGGCAGGTGGTTGGGTAATAACTGTAAAATAAAAACTATTGTAGCCAGAAAACAGCCTCTGAGACAGGGCTTCTGAAAGGCAAGAAAGAAAAAGAAAAGGATGGGAGGTATGTGACCTGGTGCTGCTAGGAGTTCTATAGCACCTGGAAACAGATACAGCACTAGTTACAATGACCTGAAAACTGGATAGGACTAGCCTCCCTCAATCCATTGGACCCAGAATGGAGGTATTCTGAATGGGGAGATATTCACATACAGTGTGCTGTGACTCTCCAGTCAGAAAATACCAAGTTTCTGTTCTCTGGCTCCTTCCCTAATCTTAGATTTGGGGGAAGAGGGTAGTGGAGGGAAATAAGTTGGGAAAAGAATTGACATTTGTTGTTGCACTGTCTGCCAAACACTTCACATGTGGGAATCCATGATGTGACAGAGGCATTATTTTACAGATAAGGAATCTGAGGTTCAGAGAAATTTCCTGTCAAATGTCTGATTCCAGGCTTTAGATGGGCAACATGTACCTCTACCCCTCCCCCAAATCTCTTATTTATCCCACAGGCCAGAGTCCTCAGCCCCTACCCATTCCCTACCCATTCACAATACTATATGGTACCTAAGGGCAAGGGGAGCCTACCAAATACCCAGCCCAGTCACCCAGGGTGTATGTGCCAAGTAGATGGACCCCAAATAGTCCCTAACTAATTAAGGTGGAAAGGCTGTGCCTTTGATCTTGGAATACCCAATACCCAGTTGTTGCTTAATAAGTGAGAGTTGAGTGACTAAATGATGGAGCTGGTAGAGTGAATGGTGTTGGAGAGGGAGCTGTAAGTCACTATCAAGGGAAACCCAGCAGGGAGAAACCTTGAGCTATGAATGTTTGGTTGGGGACTCTGAGTTCCTGGAGTTATGCCCCGAGTAGATAAAGCTGACAAGTCCACATGAGACAGGCATTCCCACCTTGTGGATGAGGAAACCGAGACTGAAACTGAGACCCATAGTGGGACCAGAGGGTGAGCAGGTATTTTTGACTCTTAACTGTCTTAGATAAATAAACTTTAAATAAAAATGAGTTGGGGTCTTGCTATGTAAATGCATTGTCAAAGCTAGTCCCTTATCCCCATTCCAACCAGATGGCAGTCTTAAACCCCTATAAATTTTGGAGTCATTGGGAGAACAGGGATTTGAATCCATATATGAGATGCTTTTGACTCTGCTGCCTCCCTTATCAGAATCTGAGGGAGACCTCAGAGAATGAGGATCTAGAAAGGAGGAGGAGAGGCTAATTATACTCTCTTGCACAAAAGCCTGTGTGGGATTCTGAACTAAGCTTGATTTAGGGGTTAGGGTGGCATCTTCACTGTAGAGTTGGCAGCTCTTGTCTTTGGAGAATGCCTCTGATTATCACTTCTCTCTCCTACCTAATTGTCTGCCCAGACATCCATCATCTCATTCTTTCCAGACTCAAGGTGTTTCCTTCATG